TGTGATGGGAATTGTAATCAACGTACAATCTGATTAAAATCATCTGTTACATGGCTCCGCGCAGGCGTAGTACGAAGTTAACGAAATGTATGCGTGTTGCTTTGTGTGTAAATGTGTCGTTTATAAAAAAATAAAAATTGAAAAAAAAAAGAGATTGTAAAATGATTAATAACGTTATTTTATCATAGATTTGATTTATTTATCTAGTAACAATATCACAAACTTTAACACATCGAAAAACAGCATTTATTACAGCAGTGGAATCAGTAACTACTGATCATTTTATTCTCACGTTGAATTAAATCTCTTCAGCTGGCCGGGAGCTGAAGGTTTTTGTGGGACTTGTGGTATGTCGAATTTTGATTATAATCCCACAGAAAAATTCCAAACCAAAGGAAAAAAAAAAATAAAATATAATTATGACGGTGGTTTCCATCAATAGGACAGTCCCGTTCCAACTAAAGTCAGATTTAATAGGACTCCATTTACAACACTGTATAAGTACCTTCTAACACATCAACAACAGCACTTTACCAACATACCAGCCATACACACAATAACACATCCCCTTGGTTAATGGGTGGGGTCTATCCGTGCCAACTTCAATCCTGGCATTTACTCCCATTCTACACTTCTTCCCACTCACTATATCACTGTCAAATGTGCAACAAATGTGCAAAACATTGCTCTAGTAAGAAAGGTTTGTTGGTGATCATACACAGTAGCCACAGCCTCCTGAAAGACAGTGTTTGCATGACGGGGGTTATACAATTGGTGTTTATAAATCCTCCGAAAAATAACATACCAACAAACTCCCTCAAGCTGTCCTCTAACCTTCTTGTCCTTTGGAAGGGACGTTAAATGGGGGTCCGGTGTAAGGAGAGTCACGCCTTGCACGTTAAAGATCACTCTGCTGGCTTTCGAAAAAGAGTAGGCTAATTGCTAGCCGCCACGGAGTATAGGTTATATATTAGACTAGTGTATGGCTTTAAGTGACAGTCCAAATTACAATCCCAAAATTATAGAAACGAGAACGTTAGGTTCCCATATCCTCCATGTTATAACCTTTTTTGGCAACACTCAAAAGGCGGAATTGCAGCCATCCCCCCCTTTTTTTGTCCTAGGCTCGGTTATAACCGGAACAAGGACGTTAAGCCCCATCAATCAATCAATCAAGTGTTCCCCAGCGAGTGATGGTTGGTTATCATGAGGTATGGTAGTCTAGTGGTAGGACGCCGGGCTCGTGACCGAAGGGTTGCGGGTTCGAGTCACGTAACGGCACTGTGTTGTGTCTTTGAGAAAGATACTTTACTCTGCTTGTCTACTCAGCTGTAAATGAGTACGTGGTTGGGCAGTGATAGAATTTTTGAATGCAAGCCGTGAGCGCTGAAACGGCAGCACCGGCTGGCTGTATGCTCCCATGGGAGTTGAGAAAGATATTGGCTGGTTGCAAAGGCCCCATAACCAGGGATAAAAAAATGTGAATTGCTTACAGACGACCTACTAACTAGGTTGTGATAAAGCGGTATATAAGAACCTCAAATTATTATTATTTTAATTATTACGTTTATCTAGCTTGAGTGAGTAAATTTTCAAATTGTATAAAGACACCAGGTTTACCGGATGTCTTTATACAATTTGAAAATTAACGAACGAGAGTTACATAAGTATGATGAGCCAGTAGTGAGGAAACACACAGAGTGGTTGTCGGATAAAATAAAAGTTTGCTACACTAAGGGAACATTTGTTTAAATTAAGATTATAAACACTAGATTTGTCTAAGAACAAGATTCATTTACATGTTGACGACTGATAACATGATCCTTACTTAGTGAATAGATCATTGTGACGACTAGTTTAAGTAATCTTTAGTGTCAAAAAATCAACAGAGAGCACCAACAATCCTACTTTTTCGATGTCTGTTCCGAAACAGAGAACGCGCACGACTTGATATTCCCAAATCCCCTATGTGCACGCGCAAGCCTCGCAACGCTCGATGGACGTGTCCAGCATGGGCCGTTGCCTACAAACACTCATTAACGCCAAATTTCACCAAATTCTTCAATGGTAAACTAGGCTGACTAAACTATAGGCACAGAAGTAATAACGACAACAGAGGAATTTGTCAAATTTTCAGGGCAATCCGCCCCTTTTTTCAAGTCAGGAAGCTTTTCAAAAATGTCGGACCTACGATAATATTGATTGATTAATTGATTGATTAATTGATAGGTTTTACGTCCGCTACACGACCGAGTATCCAGCAGACGATACGAGAATAGAAACGATCTGAATTAATATAGAGAATATATATCTGAGGCTGTTGAATACTGACCGAGTGGCCATATTGGATCATACTATCGTTTTTAGTGATGACTTTAGGTAGCCTTGGGCCAAGATAGCTTCCGCTCGGCTAGAGGGATATACTTTCGGCATGCTTTTAATTCAGCATATAAACTCAGTTAATGGTTTTCTGTTTTATATTTTGTGTTGTGTAATTGTTGAAATGCTTCATGTGACATTTGTCAGCTGTTTTTTAACAGTTGACGGCTAGACATTCCGTGACATGTAATTGTTTAACTCGTGTTTGTGTCTTGATAAAGGGGCGGATTGACAAGTTAAAAAGGTATTTATTTGACAAACATATATACGTGTGTACTACATTTCAGAGAGAAGGAAAGGCGTCATCTTAGATCATTAGCCCTCCATCTCTGGGTCGCGGGTTTGAGGCCCGTGGTCAGAGATAAACGGCTCGGCCGTGATACAAGTCGATTTTTGTTACTTTTAGTTTTGACAAATCTCCTTTTCTGCACTGCGTTGTGACTTCTTTGCTTAACTTATATACATTTTCAACTTAGACTAGAGAAGCAGGAACATTTGTTACAGTTTATTTCAGAGTAATTTTACATGTTTTAGGGGGTTAAGATAAACCTTTTCTCACATTTCCCTGTGTGTAAGATAGAGCTGTCCAGGGCAAAGCCTCGGGTCTCCCGCTCAATATTTTATCCCTTGGGTTTGAATAACCTTATCCATACCTCACATCAGGGATGGATTCTATTAGTCACCACCTAGGGGGAGATAGCCTCGTGCCAATTAGCACGTGTTGAATTGTGACGTCATTAAAATGCGTCATCGGTAATTGTGACGTCATCGACATGTATTTTTGTTTAGAAAGTTGTGACTGAAAAATAGGATGGGAGGAAAATAGTCATCCCCTACCTTGAGGATGTAACAGAGAAATGTTCAACCCTCGGGGTGAATTTTTGGTTGTCTAACCCTCGCGGATCGGCATAGCCTCGAGATGGACAACCAAAAAACCCATCACCCTCGGGTTGGAAATTTCTCTGTCACACCCTCAAGGTAGGGGAAGATTCTATGTAACCCCGATGATGAATATGTATACACTCGTATCAATATCATCAGTGTATAATAATAATAATAATATACAACATTTATATAGCGCCCTATATAAATTGTAAAATTACTCTAACGCGCTTTACAACATATGGATAATAGTAATGGTTATAATTGTGAACACAAAAAACAAAGGCTTACAATCACTTTTAAACATTTAAGCAAGCAATGTGCACATAATTGAACAAACAAAAGGGTGGTATTTAGGTTACATGACGTCTTTGCAAAGATTCTAAAATGCAGACGTGAAGAGGTGAGTTTTGATGTCCCTCTTGAACTTGGCCAGGGTATTTGACTTTCTAATAGCAGATGGTAAGCTATTCCACAACGTTGTCGAAACCCTCCCAAAGCATCTGTTTCCGTAGGTCACAGTACGAGATTTTGGGACACACAACACAGATTCTGACTCCGACCGCAGTGATCGTGACGGCTGATACGGGGTAACAAGCTCCTGTATGGGTGTGGCATGTTTACCGAAAGTTTTTCATCTAAACCCCTCAAACATGTAAAATTACTCTGAACACCTTAGTTTGGGTCCAAATATAGCTGTAACGAATTATCATGTGCTTACACTACCTTTAAGCATTCGATTATACAATATTTACAGTGAAACAATCTCAATTAAAGTTTTTCGGTAAATGTACTGTTTATTTTCGTTTTCCTTGAACAATATTGACCACACTCAGTGACTTCAAAGTTGGTCAAATCAGGGACAGTATATGCCCTGTCAAATACATGATATTCGTCATCTTTTTAATTTCAAGAGAACGGAAAGTTTGTGGTTAAAAAACAAGTTTGTTTTGTATTTTTTTCCAGATAAAACGTTAATAAAGGGTAATTACAGCATGTGTGTTTGGACACAGCCTGGCTTGAACTGTCCGTGAGGAATTCCAGAGGCAAATGGAGCGTGGAAAGAAGGTTGAGAATAGTAGTTAGATGCCGAATGTGGAATTATACATATTTATAATTTCGGGAAGGAATAAGGAATTTGTCGTTTTCAATTGCTATTTAAGGCCGTGAATAATTCTATAAAGCATGATTAACGAGGAAAGATTTTCTGCGTGTTTGGAGGGTTGGCCAATCAGGTTTTTTTAACATATCGTTTACACTGTCGGAGTATAATTGTAATTGTTTAGAACGTAAGCCTACCTAGCAGCTCTTCTCTGAATTGTTTCAATCTTATTAGATGTAATTGACGTGACATTTTTTGGTAAAATGACTGCATACGTTATTACAGTTTCGGATAAAGCGTACCTGGCTGGTTACAGCACGCACAGATGTCAAGTATAAAACTAAAGGTTCGTATAATTATGATTTATGCAGGTGTAAATGATATGATGCTAGACATAGGAAATTACTCAGGGCGAATGTATCTCGTTTCCGAAAATGAACATTATCAATTAGCATTGCCTGTTCATTAACAGTGTTTATATGTAACACGTCAGTGTTTCTTCTTTCATTCATTAAAATAAACCATGCTGAGACTACGTACATTAATTAAATGTTACTCTACCGCCAGGTTCTCAATGCTAATCTGTGGGAAACGACATTGTGTGATCCGTATGTGCCACAACCCTGAGCTCGCTCAACCGGAAATCAAACCACCAACACTGATCCACATTGTGTAGTGAATGAGGGATTCTTACCACACCGCGTGAATGGCTATTGTAGCTCCGTCTGAAAGGCTGGCCTTCTAAGACTAACAAAGGTAGGTCGCTTTAAATACGAAGTCAGATTTAAAGGGTATCTTCACATAAATACAAGCGATGCTTATACACAGTCTTGATCGCAGTGACGTATTTATATTGGCGAAAGTCCGGATCAAAATTATGAGTGTGCTTAATATTTTGGGGGCCAACATACGCCCCCAATTAGTAAAATTACATTTTATGTTACGGCTTTGTCAAGGCATCACGATCAGTATAAAGTCTTGGCCTTTAATTAATGTAAACAAAAACACCTGTCGGTCGTTCTCCAGGGATAAATTTAGACGTCACATGCATTGCTCAGTACAGACTAACCGCACGAGTCTGTAATTATGTCAATTATTGTCAAACTTCTTTTGTATTACCTATTATTTATAATGAATGACAGAATTTCAGACTCTGCTGCCAAATGACAGTTTATACATTCATCATTCTGAGTCAATGACAATGTGACATTTTAATAAACTAAATATTTCTAAAATATAGAATGACTATTGCACTCGAGTAAACTGAATGCAAAATGTTAGATTGCCCAGCAAAAGCATTATGTATTTTTTAGATGTTATAATCAAATGTAGCCTTAAGAAGGCTCGATCCACCCTCTCCTAATTAATCATTAGAATTTCTTGAAACTTACTCATAATGGTTATGCAACCATGTAGAAATAATTTATAAAAATCTAAGCTTTCTAAGAAGTCCTTCTGTTTTTTGGAAAAAATACCAAAAGAACAAGATTTTATCTAAATTTGCATTTTTTATATTTTGTTTTTGTTTTGTTTCTATTGTTCAGAACATTACAGCATTTAAAAAATATAAACAAGGATTCACTAATTTAGTCAACAAATATTTTATTTATCAAAAAATGTATTACACAAAGTGCTTTTAGTTGAAATTGTATGGATAAATGTGAGCATTTTAAGGCAAAAAACAATCAAGATGCATAGTTCCATGTAAAAAGAATTAAAAATTGAAAAATAAAAGTATAGTACAAAAGCTTTTTATCTCATTTATGCATATTTTACAATATTTGTTTTATGAAAGTGAGTTACCTCCCTTAAAAAACAGGAACTTTTTACAGAGGGTAATATATAACATTTTCATGATAGTATTATTCAGATGTTTTTTTTTCAAATCAAACTGCACATTTATATTATATCATGCAAGTAGTATATAATGAACATACTAAATTTTACTTCCATTCTTTGCATACTATCACAATTAAATTGTACACATATTATTTGTACTTGTACATGAAATAATACATAAATACATCAAGAAAAATGACAATGTTTTCCCGACGAGTGATTGGCCAGAAGTGAATCACGTGTCCACCCATAAAAACCGATATTGACTTGGAGCACGCAAATTTTGATGAAGGACTGTGTGTTTCTAAAAATAGAATTATGACGTGTCTCCAAATGAACGCTTTGTCCCGCTTCCGTAGATTTTTGCTGTGGGTTTTTTTCAGATTGCTAACATGACTGTTTTGAAAATAATAAAACAATTGTAGCCTTTGACTTAAGGTCGATACATGGATTTATCGTCCCGAGAAATGATATATTGACAGAGGACGCAGTCTGAGGTCAATATATCTTTTCTCGGGTCGATAAATCCACGTATCGACCTCTGCCAAAGGCTTGATAATTGAATATTATTGATACACAAAACAAAGACAGACAGATGCACAGAAACAATTTTGACAGACGGAGAGTATTTAAAATGATATTGATTTGCATGTGTTTCACATCTCACTGCATGTATATATGAACAAGAAATAATACTACATAATTGCATCTTGCCTATTTCAAGCACCTATCCCTAACTCTAGAATGAATATTAAATCCTAATTTCCTTGTTATCAGCATTATTTCCTGTACTATTATGCATAATGTATTATTTAATATAGAGATATGGAAGAAAAGTCGATATTATAAACAAATAGCTGTTGATAAAGAGAAATTATTTCTTTACTCACAAAAATAAAGAATTTTGCAGGCCCATATGTCTCACCATGTAATTTTCACACACAATAGCATTAAAGTTATATGAGAAAAAAATAACAGATTAACATATAAAGTAGTTACATATAATTATCACCTTTCAAATATCTGAAACACAATTTAACAAAAAAATATCACAGAATTGCTTTGCAGGTCAAGGTCACAGCTACACAATCATTCCATGATTATTGATATATTCAATATTGGCTAGTCCACACATTCCCGAGTAAAGATTTGTAACAAATTTTAGGAAACTTCATACATTCTTTCTGAAATCACTCTCTGGAAACTATTTGAAGATCAAGATCAAGTGTTAGAGGTCAGGATCACTCCTACAGAATCATTGACATGACTTTTGAACCAAATTTCCTAGTTCTCACTACATATTACTATCAATGGCACTACCACAATAAAGGAGGCACGGTAGTCTATAGTGGTAGGACACTGGGCTTGTGACCGAAGGGGTGCGGGTTCGAGTCATGGAACGGCACTGTGTTGTATCTTTGAGCAAATTACTTTTTACTCCGTTTGTTTCAGTCTACTCAGCTGTAAATGAGTACATGGTTGGGCAGTGCTAGAATTGTTGAATGCTAGCTGTGAGCGCCAAAATGGTAGCACTGGCTGTATATATCCCCAGGGAGTTGAGAAAGATATTGGCTGGTTGCAAAGGCCCTATAACCACAGATACTAATTTGTGAACCGTTTGAGACGACCTACGAACTAGGTTGTGATAAAGCGGTATATAAGGCCAAAATGAAATATAGTCTTGTTCTTAAAGAACCTCAAATTATTATTATTATTATTATCATAATTATTATGAATGATTTTGGCAGACCCAGTATAGACAGTACTTGTGTTGATTCCTAGTGCCTTGCATGGCAATAGTTCAAACTCTACTTCTCAGTGTTGCCTGCTTCTGGATCGCGAAGTGACTGACAAGCATTTCAGTAATTGTTTTGTCACTTGAATTGTCACTCTTGCCTTTGAAGTGTTTTTTTTTTCTTTCAATAATTTTGACAATCCTTCTTTGCTACCCCTTTCAAAACCCAACTTCAAGTGATCATAGCTCAAACCTGAACCTGTCGTGGTGTCCTTCGTCTGTTGTCCATCAACTTTTTATTTGAGTGACTTCTTAAGAACTGGATGACCTAGGGCCATAATATTTGGCCAGTAGGTACCTGGGACTGAGTGCTATAAAGTTTCTTCAAATAATTGACCTCAACCTATTTCAAAGGTCACAGGGGTCAAATGTGTCAAAACTTTCAAAAGCTTCTTCTGAATAACCAGGAGGCCCAGAGTTTTGAAACTTGGCCAGTAAGTACCTGGCATGAAGTGCTATAAAGTTTCCTCAAATAAATGACCTTGACATACATTCAAGATCACACGGGTTAAATATATGTCACTAACCTTTGAATAACTTCTTCTGAATAACCAAGAGGACTAGAGCAATGATATTTGGACGAAGTGCTAAAACATTCTATCAAATAAATTACCTTAACCTATTTCCAAGGTCACAGAAGTCAAATATTTAAAAAAAACAAAAAAACTTCTTCTGCATAACAAGATGGCCCAGGGTTATGATACCAATATGTACCAGGCATTTAGTGCTTTAGTTTCCTCAAATAAATGACCTTGTATACTATCAAGATATCACAAGAGTGACAAAGAGACAAGAGACCTTTGCTTTAGAAAGCAATGATATTTTGGCAGAATATACCTGGTACAGAGTGTTGTAATATATAAACTTTCCACTAATTAATGACCCAAATTTACTTTCAAGGTCATAGGGGTCAAACTTTTTAAAACATTTAAAAAAAAACCCAGGAATATCCAGGAGGCCCAGCTGAGTTATGATTCTTAGCCAGTAGCTATATATAGGTATACCTTGCATGAAGTGCTACAAAGTTTCCCTAAATAGAATATGACCTTAACCTACATCCAATGTCAAAGAGGTCAAATATGTAAAAAAAAAGTTTAAACAACTTTTGCATTACCAGGAGGCCCTTGGTGATGATATCTGACTAGTAGCATATAATGTATGCTGGGATAGAGTAGTATAATGTTTCATTTAGTTTAGAACATTATAAGCCAAGGAGAGTCCGGGGGATCCACATACATTGTGTTGTAATATTTGTCAGGTCCTGTTAATAAGTAATATTTGTCAGGTACTGTAAATAAGTAATATTTGCAAATTACTTTTATGGAGAACCTTTTTCAGTGATTGCTAAAATATCCAGGTGAGTGATAGAGGCCCAGAAATATCCAGGTGAGTGATAGAGGCCCAGAAATATCCAGATGAGCAATAAAGGTCCTCTGGGCCTCTTGTTTGGTTACTTGTTAGCATTGATCTGTATCCACCTTAAGCTAATTAGGCCAAACAAAAATATTGTTTGCTTCTGGTTATAATTACTCTATTTATAGCTACATATATATCTACCTTTTTTTTTGTGCCTACTGTACCTAAAACTTGGTAGAAACACTGTTAATACAAACCTTACAACAACAAAAATAAAAATAAAACTTAGCTATACTTACCCTAATATTTTCAGACATGTATATATATGTAACAAACAGGAAACAAAAACATTTTTTTTTTGGCCTTATCTTTAAATTTCTCACATGTCAAATTCAAAGGAATGTGAAGAATGTGTGTTGTGGGATAATAGCAGATGTACAGACGTCAAATTGTACAGTATGGTGAACATTTAAACTAGAACTGAGAATTTACTGCGGCTGAAATTCCTTTAGTGACAGTAGAAAGTGTCGCCAAACAGATTTTAAAAGGAAGTCGCAATACAAAGTTGTGAAATATTAACTTTTAGAGGTAGAATGCTCTTTTACATGTGAGATGTAAATATAATCCGAGAGTACACACTTAAATGATCATGAGGAAGCATGTCTTTAAAAACGTTTGTCAAGCAAATTTTGTTCTAAAGATTAATATTACCGCATATTGGCGAATTGGTCGAGTGGTTAACACTTCAGCCTCCCATGCAGGCGGC